CAAAAACAAAAAACAAAAAACTTCCAATGAATTTGGAATTTTGTTAAACGTATGATCCAATGTTTATAGAAATTAAGCGATCTTACATACGACAATGCGGCAGTGGTCCAAAGATACATCGAGAATCCCTTTCTAATCGGTGGTTACAAATTCGATCTACGACTATACGTGTGCGTACCATCGTATCGCCCTTTGACGATATATTTGTACAAGGAAGGATTGGCACGTTTCGCTACAGAGAAATTTTCACTGGAGCATTTGAACGATCCTTTCCGACATCTCACTAACTTCTCGTTGAACAAACTGGGCCCAGGATATTCCGAGAAAAAGGAACGCGTCGGTTCTGGTATAAAATCACTGTCATTTAGTTAAGTTAATTAGTAAATTATGCCACAACTGGTATATAATTCGGAATTTCACAGGTTGCAAATGGACTTTTAGACAATTGAGAAGATATTTCGAACAAGCTGGATACTACGATTGGTTCCTCTGGCAGAGGATAGCCTGTTTAATTACTTTAACGATACTGAGCCAAGCTGCAAGCATACCAAAATCTTCCAATTGCTTCGAATTCTTCGGTTTTGATGTATTGATCGACAGAAATTTAAAACCATGGCTACTGGAGGTTAACAGACATCCTATTCGTTTTATCAATTATTCATAAAAATTATTCCCACTATCTGATAATTGATATTTCAATCTTGATAGGTCAATCTTAGCCCGGCTCTAAGTAATGACTGCGAGATCGACTCTGAAGTGAAGAAACCTCTGCTGCATGATTTATTCGATTTATTAGGTCTTCCGGTATGTAATACTGGACTCTCCCTTTTCACAATATGGTCAACGAGCCCAATTAACGACGAGGTGGAAGAGTCTTCCAAGTTTTGTACAAATCGAACTATGAAAAAGAAATCGAGAACTTATCGGGAAACTGATGGTTTTTTAAACATATGCACGGAACTTCAGCCTACCGTATGCATCTCAAATGGAATATTGACAGATATTGAACTATTGGCAGAAATATACTATATTTTATATTCATTTTTTTTTTATAATCGTCAGCTTAGACAATCGACTATCAACAATTCTTCAAATTTGTGGTCTCGTTACAATCCCTTACTAGTGGATAAGTACGTTCCACGCGGTTTTCAGGGTAATAATCCAGAAAGCAACAATAAAACATCGATATGGGATAATGGTAAAGATTGGAGTACGCCATGCGCGAGAGAGGGAGGATGGGTTCGCATTTATCCGCTGATACGAATAAAATCTGAGAATACTGTCGATTACGTATCGTCTTTATCGGACACTACAAAAATCGCAGAAAAGGAAACCAGAAATGTGATTCTTTCCATACAAAAGTAATATCAATAAATTTTTATCACTTTATGGCAAAGTATAAAAATATACGACTTGCTTTGCAGATACTTGAAAGCTGCCAAAGAAGTGCACAAGAAGAATGAAAAATATAGAGATGAACAATATAATGCTACGTTACGAAAAATGTTGGAATTAAATACTGAAATCTGGCTGCCATCGAAGTGACTTAGTATACACAACGAATACCTGCATCTTTTATTTTTATATGTATATATATATATTTTTTTTTTATCATTTAAACAAATCAGCACAATATGCTTTGACCAATTACATGATTTTATAACACTATATTTAGCTGAACCACATTTTTAACAGCCAAAAATATTTCTCAATATTTTTAATAGCGGAATATGTTCTAAGATGTTTTAAACATGATTGTGGTAGAAACAGAGAGGAAGAGAAACAGAGAGAGATTAATGAAGAACAATCAGATGCTATTCTTATGTGTTCTAAAATACTATTTGTAAATATTATATGGGATAAAGATGAAGAACATCTATATTCACCAAGAAATTCTCGGTTTATTAAACATTTTCTGTACATTAATTCACTCCCTTTGCTGCTAATCTCTTGTCGCGTTCCTCAGCAATAGAAAGCTTTACACCTTTGTCTCTTGGCAAGCTAATGTACGGCTTTGTACCTTTGCCAATGATAAATACGTTGTTCAACCTAAACGAACAGCCAATTAGCCAACATATAAAATATTCATGTTTCCTAAATGGATAATACTAATATATCTATGTGAAAACAATCAGTAACCAATATGGAGGAAATTCATTTTGGCCAACTTTTGACTACAATATTTTTTATGATATATTATAGCTTCAATTATGGCCATTATAAAAAGTAATTTAATCTTTTTCTTGTAAAAATTTAAAATCAAAAATAAATGTGCAAGACAGATATAAATAAAAAAAAAATATATATATATAAATATTAGTAGAATACAAATATACCTTGTGGCAAATGTATGTCCCTGAGAATCCTTAATATGACAGATATCAAATGAACCGGGATGACGCTCTCGGCTAACAACTGTGCCTACTCGTCCCAAATTTCTACCACCAGTGATCATACAAAGATTACCTAAAAAATAATAATTAATTAATAAGTTTCATATTTTTTATTTGAAATAAAATTTGCAACAAAAAATATTATACCTGAATCGAATCGAATAGAATCCAAAATTTTGCCAGATGCTATATCCAAGTGAATGGTGTCATTAACTTTAATTAAGGGATCTGGATAACGAATTGTTCTTCCATCATGTGTTACCAGGAATGGAATACCTTTTGGTCCTGTTTGAACACGTTTTACTTTACACAATTTGTACTGTAAGAAGAAATATTTAATTTCTCAACTAAATAAAATATATTTTAATGAATTATTAATGATTTTTTTGTCAATGATTAACCTTGGCTTCTTCTGCAGTAATTCTATGAGTAGTAAATCGTCCTTTAACATCATAAATTAATCGAAAATATTCTCCAGTTTTATTAATGGTAATGACATCTAAAAACCAAATTTAATTCATTAACACAAGCTACATTTAATTTTCTATATCTCTTAAACATATATCTTTTTTAAATAATATATAAAATGTGCACTTTTTGGGTAATACAGAAAAAATATTTAACTTAATCTGTGACCAAAATAAAGAACTTTTATTTTACTTTTGGCTAATGTTTGACTATAACATTTCATTTGAAAAATATTACAGCTTCGATATAGCCTTGTATACACAACAAGTAAATAAAAATGTCTCATAAACTTACCCATGAAACCTGCAGGATAGTTGGGATCAGTTCTAACTTTGCCATCGACTTTAATCAAACGTTGCATCACAATTTTTGTTACTTCACAATTAGTTAACGCATATTTCAATCTATTACGAAGAAAAATAACAAGAGGGAGAGATTCTCTTAATTTATGAGGTCCCGTAGATGGACGTGGAGCATATACGCCACCAAGTTTGTCTAACATCCATGCTTTAGGTGCATTGAGACGCTTTAAATGTTTCTTGGGCCCACGAGCCTAAAATCAAATTATACACATTTCATTTCATCATTTTAAATAAAACAATTTATATAAATTTTGCAACCTTCTCAATATCAAAAATGTTCAATTTAACGTACATACATTATAGGTTAGATTAGAATTTACATATTTCTTCTATTTCTTCAAAAAATATAATACACATAAATTGTTACATTAAAAACTTATTTTTATAAACAATTATTATTATTATATACATATATGACGAATTGATTCATTATAAAAAGATAATCTATACACGCACATCTTAGCCGTATGTCTTGCTTAATAAGAATGAAATAAATTTAACATATCATATAGGAATATTTACTTTAATTCATTTAGTTTATACTCCACTTGTATATTAAAAAATACAGGACACAATACAAACGGATGCAAACGGATTTTATATTGATAACAAATAGTCGTACTTACCATTTTGGTTTTCTAAAAAGGAAAGGTACGTTCAAACAATGATAATCTACAGCAGGAAGAGAGAGAAGCATCTGTAGCCCATGAGCTACGAGTTTCGCATCTAGACTATACACATTCAAAGTTCCACAGCGCCACTGTAGCCAAAATGATTAATAATCATACTTTCATTTGCAAAAAAAAAATTAATTAAAAAGATTAATTTATCAATTTCTGTAATTGTATCTACGTTTTTGAATCTTCTTCAACTTTCTTTTTTATTCCATATTTATTCCAACATGTAAAATGCATATATAAAAATTCTGTTCAATAAATCGAAGCATTCATATAAATAATGTTTATTTTCATAAACATGAAAAAATTTCATGTTTGAAATACACGATAAATTTGAATCAACATGGGACGTGGATATAGTTGAAAGCATCAGCTTCCAAATAAATGCAAATTAATGGTACGAAACCATAAAATTTATATCTCAAAAATTTGTAAAATTGTATATTTTATAGGTCAAATAGTACATAAGAGATAAAGATTTGATACAAAATGTGTAATTATAAAATTTCACAAATTAATCTTCTAAATTCTAAATTAAAGTTTTTTACAAACAAAAATTGTTAAATTCATACTAGAAACATTAGTGCCACGTAGTGATGAAAAACTGGAATTAATCTCTTTACGACCAAATTTGAAAACTAAATTTGCCAGTCTACGAATTGAATATTTAATCTATCTTGAAAGTAAATTAAAGATGTAACTCTAAAAAATATTATTTGCAGAATTTTCTACCTAATTAATTAATTAATTAATCATATGTAATTTGTGCCCCAATTCAAGAATTTCGTATCAAGCATCCGTAAATTGAATAAATTTTTATTTGCAAAAAAAACTAATTTAAAGGATTAATTTAAGAACTTCTGTAATTAAATCCTCGGCTTTTTTTTCTATATTCTAGTTGAGTCATAAAAATGCATATATAAATATTTAAAAATTTATTTCATAGCATCTTTGCTTCACTAATAAATGTCAACATGTCCGAAGTGGAATACTAATTATAGATAATTCATTTATTAGGAAATAGAAATAACATTATACAAGAGTTAAAATTTCAAAAATAATTTAAAAATTTCATATTAATTTGATTGTAACGCTTCAACTATGTTATCTATTAAATTGGACGAACCAATTCTAAATAAATCTTTAGACAACCATTCCTCTCCTAATTCCATTTGGACTAACATCATCCATTCTAAAGCCTCCTGTGGAATCTTAATACCACCAGCAGGTTTGATGCCAACCTAAAACAATTATATAATAATTTAATAGTAAATACATAGCACATAAGATATTGTTTTTTTGTTTTTTTTTTTAAATAAAGACTTATACCTTTCTTTTTGTGGATTCATAATAATCCTTAATTGCCTGACACATAATAATTCCAGCAGGCAAGGTAGCATTTATTGCTTCTTTTCCAGTAGATGTTTTAATAAAATCTGCTCCAGCCATCATTGCTATCATAGATGCTTTATATATATTCTCCAAATTACCTAGTTCTCCTGTAGCAAGTATAACTTTTAAGCATTTATTGCCACAAGCAGCACGAAATGATTTTAATTCTTCATATAGTTCTTTCCATTGTTGCATCAAAGCTAATGGTCTGTTAATAACAATATCAATTTCATCAGCTCCTAATTCAACACCTATTTCTACTTCACGAAGACGTGTTTCCAATGGAAATTGTCCAGATGGAAATCCTCCACCCACTATTCAAAGAACAATAATATATTTCATTACATTTTAATAGTATTCAAATAACATTTAAATTATTTACCAGTAGCTCTAGATATTTTATGTTCTTTATCAAGTTTTTCCAATGCAGATACTGCATCCATAAATCTCATAGGATACACATATACAGATGCAGTATGTAAATGTGAGTAATTTGGTAATTTAAGGGGATTTACTGCCTGTAATTATAAATATAAATAGATATATATATAAATTATAATAACATTTTTATAGATTACACTTCAAATATCAGAAGTTTTAACACAAAATTAAATATTACTTTAGCACACAAAGTTTCAATTCTTGAAGGTGTATCATCACCTCCTAAAGTAGTCAAATCTAGGAAACCTATTGTCTTTACCAACAAAGCAGTTTTAACATGATTTTCCAATTTATTAACTCTAGAACGAATAGAATTAACTTTTTCATTTATTGCAGATTGATCGAAATTCATTGTAGCTAAAACACAAATATATAAAAATTAAAAACACGAAAGAATTAAAAATTTTTAAATTCAACTTACCACTAGCCAGTTTTTGGATATCCATTATACTTTTCTTAAAATTTTCAAAAATATTTAATCTTTCTTAAATACGTAAAGTGCGTAGAAATGAACACGTATCGAGAATGTAATTGCTTTATATTGATAATTGATAACACCAAAATGACCTGTAAATGAACTTACAATAAGCAGATGATAAAGTAAAAATATTTATGTATGTATTTATCTATATACATATATAAATATCATCTTTCAGTCTTATCTTAATAATTCTTCTCATATTTTACTGATATTATGATATACAACTTTCATCCAATGCTACATTATATGCATCATATATACCCCGCGAAAATTAAAATACCTCTTTTCCCAAATTCAAAAATATTTATTCTAAAATGCAAATCATTAATCAGTGTAATTTTTAATTTTTTCATTTCTAATAATTAATTTTGATTTGGGAAAGCATCAATATTCAGCAAAGCAAAGATATTGGAGTTTAGATAAAGTTGTTTTGTAATGATTGCTAAAATAAAAAATTATAAATAGATATTATTTACTACTTAAATTTATTAACTAATAATTAATTAATAAAAATTTATTATATCAATTCTTTATTGCTACATTATTTATAATAGAATATAAAATAAATAAATTTATGTACTAGAAATAAATATTATAAATATTTTCTGAAATATATTGTGATATATTTTACATAAATTTAATATATCTCTAATATAATGTACTTGAAAGTATTTATTATTCTTTTCGAATTAATACTGTACTTTTTTTGAAAATTTATTACCAACAAGTTAACTATTAATAGTTCACGATTTGATCACATAAATAACAAAATTCCTAAACAAAACTATTGAAATTTTTATTAATTTAAATTATTATTATCTATAATGTTGCCATTGTTCCCAATATCGCGCAGTTTGCATTTCAGAAAGTCGTGATACGGTGCGATCGAAAGCAAAAAGTTCTTCTTCTCCAGTAAAAAGATTAGATTTGTGATCATCCTATTAAAGATACAAAATACAAAATTATACAGTGAAAAGTCATAACTTCATAATAATGATTGGTTTTATAACTTACTGAACCATGCGATATTTTTAAATCATCCATTAGCATCCGTTTTTCATCTGTATATTCATTATCTCCTTCTGGCACAAAAAGTTTTGTATGTGGAACAGCTGCAGATATTACAACTCGTACCTGATAAATTTTTGCTCACATCAATACAAATATTTATATTAATTTAAATGATTAAATATGTAAAATAAATAGATATATAATCCTACCTTATTATCATATAGTGTATCAATTAATGTAATAAATCTTCTAGTTTGTGATTTAAGACGGAAATCTAATTGTGGTAGGTCTCTTATAATGACTGTATGAAATGCTTGACTTAATTCTAAATAATCACTAGCACCAAGTGGCTACAAATGAAAATTTATTTATGAACAATTAGTTATAAACAATTAAAAGTTTTTAATAATAACCTACTCTATCACATAATTCTGCAAAAGTTGAATCCAACACTTGACCGCAGGTTCTTTCAAACGTAACATTACGACCTCTTATAGAAATAGTCCGAGATCTTACAACATCATTTTCCTGTGAGCATAAATATTTAAATACTTTGTCCACATCACCTGTTGCATCTTTTCCTTTTCTGTAATAATTAATCTTTTTCAAAAAGAAATATCTTACTATATGTTTTATCTGTACATAAGTGGACATACATGAAATAAATCTTTTCATCTGTAAGTCCTGTTTTTAATCTATAATCTATACCAGAATCTAGGGAATTTATAATACAATAATTTTTTAAAACCTGTATAAATGGAATAAAATTTCCTCTTTGTAATCCATTTTTATATAAATCATCAGGTGCTCTATTACTAGTTGCAATAACTATTACACCATTATTAAAGAGTTCAGTAAATAATCGTTTCAGTATCATAGCATCTGCAATATCAGTTACCTATGATATATAAACTTTTATTAATATATATATTAAATTAAATCCTAAATAATTGGTTGTATGTTTTAAAATTAAACCTGAAATTCATCAAAACAAAGTAACCACGCTTCTTCAGTAATACTTTTGGCAACTGGTGGTATTGGATCAAATGGTTGAAGTTTAGTACTACTAACATCTCTTACAATATTTTTCTTCACTTCATGTACTTTATTATGTACATCCACCATAAAGGAGTGAAAATGAACTCTTTTTTTATTTTCTATCTAAAATAATATATTTACAACTGGTTTAATTAAAGGCAACTACTTTGCAATGTATTACATATGGAAAACTATATAAAAACACTATAATTATATGAACTATAAAGTATAATACCTGGCAACATTCATAGAAAAGATCCATTAACATTGTTTTACCTCCACCAACTGCTCCATAAATATATAATCCTTTCGGTGGCTGTTTTCTCTTTCTACCTAGCCATTTGTCTAATAAGTTGAATTCTTCAGGTTTATATCCATTTATTTCTTCGTAAATACTTTGTAATGTTTTAGCAACTTTTATTTGATGTTCATCTTCCATTAGCTCTCCTTTGGCAATTTTATTTTTTAACAAAGCAATTGGGCCTTTCTCGATTAAACCAACATCATGAGCATATCCATGACTTTGAATATGTTGCATAAATTTGTTGGACAAATTTGTAAAATAGTTTTGATTGAAAAATTTTTTTGGTAACAAATAAGTCATCATAGAGAAAGATGTCCTAAAGAAAAGGTCATAATTTATTACTTATGTATATTACTTGTAAGTATTATTAATAATTAGATTAGAAAAATGTTCACTCTTACGAACAAATATTTGATAAATATACATTTAATTTAAAAAATTAGCAAAATATAGAAAAATTGTTTAATGAGTATGATTAAAAATATTCACGTATTTACAGAATTTTAACTGACAGATAATGCATGATAACCTTTATATTACGTATAAAAACATATCACATGTATCTACCTTAAAATAGAATACGCACACTAGGAAATTGAAAAAGGTAGGTGTGAAACATGATATCGATAAATTTGATAAATTGAATAACTGGCAAATGTATAACTAAATTATATGTACTTACGCTTCTGTTTACTTTCTTTTTTGTTATTTATCAAAATTGATTCTTTCATGATGTTTTAATATTATTAAAAAGAAATTTCGTCTACAGAGAAATTCAATTTCAAAAGTTATCTATCGCGCGTTATGTCATGACGTAATTAAAAAACTAATATGGAATCATCAAACATGATTCGTTCATAAAAGTTCATACTTGCTTAAAGCTTTGTTCACAATCTAAAACTATATTATGTAAAAATAACAAAATATTAAATATTATTTATTTTTTAATATTTAAATATTTTTTAATATTTTAACTAAATAAATATCTTATATTTATATATAATTATATAAGAAATAAAACATATTTAATATTTTAATTTATAATGTAGATTTTTATTATATTTTATACATAAATATTTTAACAATAATTTTTAAATAATTATTTGCAATATTTTATTTTAATAGCTTAGATATATATTTCAATAGCAACAAATATATATCATACAAATTAGGAATGTAGTATAAGAAATTTAGGAATAAAATTTCTATTAACGATAAAAATGATACAATGGATTTTCTTTGAATTTCAATCGTTATGATAAATTTTAGAACTATAAGGAGCACTACTCGTTGGCAATCTTCGTTTGTCAGGACTGATTCCTTCTTTTAATGAATAATATCGTCTTTCAATGACTTTATCAAAAAATCTACTCAATTTGACAGAAGAGCTAGAACCAGCAGCTAGTGATCTCACTTGATGACAATCCTAAGAACAACATTAACTTGAAGTAAATAATACCAATGTGTAATAATTTAAAAAAAACAAATGATATACCAAAAATATTTCATCAGCACCACATTCTTCTGCAATAGTTGAAGAACGTCTATGTATATTAGATCTGACTTCAGCAATTAAATCTAATTTAGTACCAATAACTAAAATTGGTATCTGGAAAAATTATTTTATTTATATAAAAGAACATGGTAAAAAATAAATGATTTGTATTACCTGTGTAGATCCTACAAATTTTTCAGGATCAAAATCATCAAATGGCTTTGATTTCATATAACTATCTTTGCTTAAAACTTCTTCAAGCCATTTCTGAAGATTTTGTTGTGATTTTCTGTTTGTTAAATCATGAACTAATATGATACCTATATTATTAATAGTGATTAATGATTGTTAAATTTTTGTTATATATTTGTTATATATTTTATGTTTATACCATTTGTAGGATTATAAAAAACAGATCTTGTATTTTTATGATTTTGACTTCCTCCAATATCCCATAATTCAATAAAATATCTCCTTTGATTAGGAGTTCCTTCTTTATATTCATGTAATTTAACTTCCACTGAGCAACCTATAGTCCATGAAGGATTCCTAATAGGTTGTTGTTGACATATTAAATGTGTTAATGATGTTTTTCCCACACCTAAATATAAAAAAAGAAAGATTTTTTAATAATTATTTATCATTAGCTGTTACACACACATGCGCGCGCGCGCGCGTGTATGTGTGGTGTGTCAAAAAAGTAATAGATAACCTGTAAATGATGTCATAGAAATATGTACGAAATACAAGAATGAAATACTTAATGAATTTCTTACATGTAAATTATGCGATTATAATAAATTTTGGTAATAAATATAATATTTGTATTGTAATTAGTATATAATAATAGATAATGATAGATAAATAAATGATATAATAAGTAATAACAATAACAAAAAGTATAGAATTGTTTTATATATATATATATATATATATATATATA